CTTACCATCTTGTCTTGAATTGTATTGTGATCGTAATGACTTCCTTATATTGTAAAGCGCTGCGCAAACTGTTGGCGCTATAAATCCTGTATAATAATAATATTTTCTTTAATTTCTGTACAGTAGTGGTAATAATTCTAGGTGTTACACAATAAATAAAGTAGATATAAATCCAATCATTAAAATGCTATAAAATCTTTAATGATTGTAAAGTCTCTAGGGCCGGGCTCTCCTAACCCTTCTGTATTAAATTGTATTGTGACTGCACTCTCTGCCTTTATGTTCTTTTTGTAAAAAACTGTGCAAAATGTTTGTGCTATATAAATCTTGAATAATAATAATAATTTGGTCATTTCAAATGTTTTTCTCTTTCTAAATCTATTTTTTTAAATAAAATAATATCTGTTGATTATTTATTTTTTAATAATTTCTTGTTCTTATATTTTCTTTGATAACTGTACAGTAGTAGAAATAATTCTCGGTGTTATCATTGGTTCCTCCCTTTTAGATTGTAAGCCCAACCTAACTACTGAAATGTCACTTTCTCATACAATCCATCCCCACACAGCTCCCTCCTCTTTTTAATTCTATGTTTTCTAAAATTAAAATAATTTCTGACAATACCTGATGATCTTTTATTTTTTAATCGTTTGTTGTTCCTATTTTTGTCGATTACTGTAGAGTAGTGGGAACAATTCTAGGTATTATACCACAATTAAAATAGATATAAACCCAATCACTAAAATCCTTTATATTCTGTAATGATTGTAAGCTCTCAGGAGCCGGGCCCTTCTAACCCTTTTGTATTGTAACTGTACTGTCTGCCTTTATTTTGTAAAACACTGCGCAAACTGTTGGTGTTATAAAAATACAAAAAAATATTATTATTATTGTTATTATTATTGTATTAATTTGGTAATATAATTTCAAATGTAATGTTTACGCTTTTTACATCTATTTTTTGTGAAATAATACATGATAATAAAATTAACAATGTACTTTGCGTTTAGCTATAATTATATTAATAATAATAACAATAAAAATGTAATTTAATTTCAAAAAGTCATGTTCACTCTTTTAATTAAAACAATACCTGCTGATCCTGCCATATAGGTCCATGGTTGGGAACTTCTTGTTATGGGGTGACAATGCTTTTTTCTCTTATTCCGAATTGTTCTCCTGGGTTGTCACCCTGTCACATGTGCTTCTGGTAGTAACGCTGAACATGCAGCTTAGGAAACTCCTTCAGATGTGGCATATGGGGGGGTGGGGATGACATAAAACCACCACCTGAGCCCACTTATAATCCTCCTCAATTAAACAACCGCGGTCACTGGCTATATAACCCGGTCCAAAGCTGAGCGCCATCCAGCCCGGAAGGAAGCTCCTTTTGCTGCCTCCCAATCAGCTGCGGATGGTGAATTCCCTGCCTGCTGCACATAAACAAAACGTATACAGCCACATGACTATATTTGGTCAGTGCCATATAAGGTCGATGATGTCACCACCAGCATCCCGCCTCTTTGTTTATGTGCAGCTGTGGGAGGAAGAATGCCCTGGTCCGCAGCTGATTGGGCAGGTAGACCCATTTCTCTTCGGGGGTTCAGAGGAGATCAGGTTCGGACAGGATCCGGTCTCATGCCTAGTTGGAAACCAGGGGTATTCAGTGCTGGGGGGTGTGGTGAGGTAAACCTGGGGTGTATTGTCAGAGGTGTAACTACAGATGATGGGGCCCCATAGCAAAATGTTGATGCCCCCACAAAGGAATATAATGTACAACATAGTAAATGTGGTGCAGGCGACAGGAGTATAATGTACAACATAGGGTATAAAGTTCAGAGGTCAGAATTATAATGTACAATATAATGAATATAGTGCAGGGGTCGGGAGTATAATGTACAACATCATGAATATAGTGCAGGGGTCGGGAGTATAATGTACAACATCATGAATATAGTGCAGGGGTCAGGAGTATAACGGAAAACATACTGAATGTGGTGCTGTCGTCAGGAGTACAATGTACAACATAGTGAATCAGGGCCGGTGCTAGGATTTTTGCCAACACAGGCAATGTTGATTTTTTGCGCCCCCCGCAATCAACCCCGACCCCCCCC